AAAAAAAATACGATTTTGAGACTCCTACTTATTACATAAAAATGTGATACAAAATTATGAACTGAAGAAACGGGGAGAGTATTTGGTGAATAGTTCAGTTTGGGTCGATAAAGACGGAGTACTTTGAAAAAAAATGTCAGTAATGTTTACAATCAAAGGAGGAGCGAAACAAACATTACAGTAACGCAGTAAAAAAAGTAAGATAAGTTGGCTGGGTAATACTGTTATAAGCAGAATTTACTCCAGCAAAGTTAGCAGAAGGACAGTAGTGTTGAAGAAAAAGCAAAGCACTTCAAAAAATTTCTTCATATGGAATCACTGTGATGATTAAATTGGCATCATAGCTCATCATGTAACATTTAACGATAAAACAATGCATTCAAATGTTATCCAGGAAAAGATGAACCCCAGTTAAACTTGAAATATTTCAAGTCATTCAAGACTGCCCATACTCGAAACCAAGTCAATTATTAGCCGATCACGCATATTTTGAAAGTTATGTAACAAATCTATCATTTTGACCACAAAGTTCGACCATGTTAAACTGAAAAAGGCCAAAAATTTGAAATGCAGTAAGTAAAAGAAACTGACTTTAAGACTTGAAGATGAACGAAAATGAATATACAAATGACAGCTGCATCAGGAGCTTGCGTTCATGAAAACTGGCGTACATGGCATTAATACAAATCTGCAGACAAGGCAGATTTATTCCCAAACATGGGTCTTCGTGATAACTTCTTTTTGCAGAATGAATAAAAGTTAAAAAAGATAACATTTGTTGAAATAAAGTTGTCAAGAAATTAAAGCTGCTTAAAGCTATTCACGTTGAAATTTGGTCAGTTTTATGAAGCTCGATGCTAGCAACAAGTCATCTCTGTTTTTTCAAATCACTTACTTTGAGTCTCGTTCAAAGATATCACAACTGAAACAGAACATCGCAAGCAGAAATGGATTGATTTAGTTCAAAAAATATCAATTTGCAGCAAGATTTCTTTGATTATCACCCTAGGAATCTATCATGAAATGCAATTGAAACCTCAAATTACTGCTATATTATTGAATTTTAAAACACTGAAGTAAATTCCTTCACATAAAATCCATTTTTCTTGGAAGCAGACTAGACAGAATGAATTTTATGCCCTTCAAGAGCAGTTAATTTTTGTATTGATTCATGCTGTTAGAATGCTTTGAAAGGCTTATCGAAAAGAAATAGGAGTAGGTTTCTACATCCCAGCTGTGTTCATTAATCAGAACCAATCGAGAAATGAACGCGATGCAATTTGAAAATCCGTCAAACTCTGTGATAAATCCTTTTGCAATTTGATGCTGTCCAGCAGATCCACTTATGAGTACAAACCAAATATGATAAAATAAGACAGAAATAGAATGTAGTCAAGAGGGAAATGATGCCACAAAGAGTCAAAATGTTCAGAAGTGCTTCCAAAATAAACTAAATTGGGATTAGTTGTAACTCCGTATGCGAAAACAGCTCATGGCAAATCTTCATCTGATTCGCATTCCCGTGCACACATTATTTAATGGCGCTTATCTTCTTAATTGCAGCTGCTTTTGCTGTTATTTGTGTTAAGTCAAGAACTGTTCGTGCTTATGGACAGAGTGCATAAGCAATAATATTTACCGTGAAAACTGATTTCTAATCAGTTTTCACGGTAAATATTATTGCTTATAAGCATCAAAGGATGTATTCTCGCTCAGCACAATTGCCAAATATAAGATGCATTATCTAAGACAGCAGCAGCTTCACGCTGTCTATTTAAACGATCATCTTGCAATCAATCTCTTGGCAATATCATGTTTTATCTTATTTATTCTACGCTATCATAACAGATAAGTAAAAAGGATAGTGTGAAAGATATTGTTGTCTAAAGCAATAAATGCAGTAGAAATCGTTGGATATAAATCTTTTACTTTTTGTTCACTTATAGTTATGTTTATTCTTCTGCATAACAATAGTTCATACACATTCTGCAAAACGAAATTGATTCATAATGAATACAGTTAAATTCATTGAATGGAGTGGATGAGGTTTGATACAAAAAAAATTCCAAAAACATGAACCATAAAATCAGAAAAGTGATTTTTTGCTAGTACAATTTTTTTTCAAGTGTGAAAAAAAAGCCACATTGGTAATTGTGCTAATAAAGAATTCACTGCTGAAACTAACAAAGTATATAAAGAAGAGACTATCAAATTCATATAGGTTCATGCATTCCGTCAGTGACCTACCGCCTGCTCTTCCTGTAACCCCACGCACTTGCTTATTTGGGACCAATTTTCATTGGTGATTGTAATGTCAGTTGAGTAGATTGATTTCGATCAAATAATTTTGCTCGTTCGATATTAATCGTGTTTGTATGCTAAATCGCGCAGCTTCACTTGAGCACAGAAATAAGATGCAAAATCAACACT